GAAGAATAAACTAGTTTTATTTAAGAAAGGACTTGTATCGCAAAAAATATTAACAAACGAACATAGAGAGACGTAACACTATTATAAAGCATATTTCAATGCGTAAAGGGCTATAGAGCCGTAGTTTGCTTTAAAAGCATACACATTCTGAGAATTTAGACAACGATGTGCTCCGGAATTAAGAAACAGTTATTTGAAAACATTATTGTTTTCGCTAAACGAGCCTCTCCTGATGAAGACCTTTTCCGAGTGACAACGCATTCACGAATTCATAAGAAGTTAAAATCTATTATATTATCATTAATAAATGCAAGTATAAAATATAAGTATTTTCGCGGATAGCTCCTGCCTTGTGTTAGTTGTGTTAAGACAGCGGAAGTCACGTGACGCCGGTAACACGTAATGAGTATCTAGAACGTTCCTGAAGGCTCGAGCGTTTGCTAGACTCGCGGTTTTATAGTATATAAGCCGGTAAATAAAGTGACGGCGAGGATTGAATTGCAGACAGAGAGATATAGAGACAGATAATCGAGTCAAGCCGTAAGTAAAGTGCGTGAATCGTTGTGAATTCTAGCGTGAGTTTAAGTTAAAGTAACTGTGGAAATCAAATGTACTGCAAAGTTGAATTGAGAAAGAATAAACTGGTTTTATTTAAGAAAAGACTTGTATTGCTGAAGGTCTTCGGAAATAATTTATATGGAAAATTAACAAACGACCAGAGACGTAACAGTTGGTTACAATGTTTCTTGCTCCATGCTAAAGCTTTCTTCGTCATGTTAGAGCACGAAATGTTCTTTCCAACAAAAGTAAGACAGGATTTGTCCACAAAAAAAAAACTTCCCCAAATGCTAAATATACTGCCTAAAGCTACATTCTTTTAAGACAATTTGTTTAAACCAAAAAACTGTCACATAAATAACGTCGTTTGCCGAACGTAAAAACAAATTAATTCTCATTCCTTGTTCCACAATTGAAATTTTGTAACTTTATTATATAAACACGAAAGATAAATCATATCAGACCTGCTTATTGAAATATGATATTTGAAATACCGATGAATAGTATAAGTGTTAATCACGATTGATTGATCGTCTTATATATTTAGAAGATTGTTTATATGAATAGCTGTATAGTGCCAATTGCATAGCAAATTTTGCCTCTCCCTGTATAACATACTTAAGACTTCAATGCAGGTTATCTGAGATGGTTATTTTTATCGAAGGGTTTTTACAGAGTTTGCACAATTGTTAACCACAGCTTAGCCCATCCACATAAGTAATTGTCTACATCTGTTATGACAATTGCTCAACTTTTGGTCATATGTGAATATACGTTTTACTCTTCGGATTCTTCTTTATAAGAAGTTGCTTTATTTGTACTTAAGTACAAAGATACACAGTGGACTATCTGTGCTCTGACAACACAGAGAATAATTATGAAAGCTGTCACATACAAAATCTAAAAACTGTTACAATAATAACAACAATATTGCAATGTTATGGTCCCCCGGTGGAACAGCGGTAAGTTTACGGACTTATAATGCTAAAATACGATCTTCAATTCCTCGCACTGGACACAGCAGATGGTATAATGTGCCCTTCCTCTGAAACAAACACTGAATGCGGTGTTTTACAGAATTAATACTCTTTGTTTTTCCATGCACTACTGTTTTTCTAAACAAGTTGTTCTCTTACAGTCAATTACAAGCTATTGGAATTTGAAAAAGTATTCAAGATATATGGGACTATATCTTGAAGCCAACAATGATATATTAGCTCAGTTTTATCACTTTGCATATGTGGTTTAATTAACGAGTTCAGGCCTGTGGATTTTTAAAAATGTTTTCGACTAGAACGAGATACAATGTGTATTGATTTGCAAGTCACAGTAGGAATAGATTATTTACAGAATTTGACGATAATACTACAACACGTAAAAAAAAAACACTAACACTACACTATGTTTTCTGTAACAAACAAATGAAAACTAGTTACGCTGCTGATTGTATCATCGTCTCACACAGGATTGTTGCACAAAGAAACAATTGTAAGGAATGAATTTTGAGCGATCTAAGCGTCAAGCCAAACAAATGTTAACAATTTAAAATAATGATCTGAATTTCATACTTTATATCTCTGAAGGCAATTAGATACAGCGTAGTTTATATGCATGGAAGCACACATATCTTTATATCATAATGTAAACAAAGCGCGTTTGAACATTGTATCTCGTTAAATTGTTCAGACTACATGACAAACATTCGCACACACCGTTAAGATATAAATCGTTGTACACTAAGTTCAGACAGATAAAATAATCGGTCCAATATATCAATTAATATATATGTATAATGACGAGTAAAAAACAAGATACTTGACTGAGTTATATATTCTTGAATGAAATTATGAATACAAAACATTCTAAATTCTGTTTTACTAAGTGATTTAAAAAGGTGGAATACGAGTTGAATCAAAACACAGTTGAAATTAATTTAGTTATTCAAAACTTTTAATAAAGTTAGTAATTAAAATTTCGGTCTTAGTTTGTTATAGCTTTATTATGTAATAAATTTGAAAGGCAAATATAATTTGTTTTTTACGATAAATATAACACATGTTTAAAAGACCAAAAGCGTTTGGCTCGAGTGAATCCTATAGGTTCTACAAGTATGTATCATGAATGAGTGTCTTATATATTCTGTGGAAGAATCAAATAATTTTTTCTACAAAAAAGAGAAACAAAGTAAAAAAAAGAAGAGAAAAGGAACATAACAGTTGCGAATAAGTTTAGGTATGTCAATTGTCAACTTAATGTACCCACGGAAAGACCACTATAAAGTTAATATAACATACACTTTTATTAATAATCATACTAATAAACATGTGCGTATTGTTATATCTATAATTTGTAATACGTTAATAAAAAAACAAGTATTACATAACTGTAATAAGATAATTCTAGAATGGAGATACATTTTAAAACAGCTATTTTGTTTATTGTTAACTTTTCGAAATTGCGCAGATAATGTAAACATTGTAGGAGTTTCCAAAAAGGCTCGGCATGGCCAGGTGGGTAAGACGCTCGACTCACAATCTGAGGGTCGCGGGTTCGAATCAAACATGCTCGCCCTTTCAGCCGTAAGGGTGTTATAATGTGACGGTCAATCCCACTATTCGTTGGTAAAAGAGTAGTCCAAGAGTTGGCTGTTGGTGGTGATGACTAGCTGCCTTCCCTCTAGTCTTACACTGCTAAATTAGGGACGGCTAGCGCAGATAGACCTCGTGTAGCTTTGTGCGAAATTCAAAACAAGCAAGCAAGTTTCCCCCCCCCCAAAAAAAGGAAAAGTACTCTTTGTATTAATGCTTGACCGAACATGTCTGTCTGTTAGTGTACTCGGACTGTGAATCCGAGGAATTCATGGTTCGTGGCCTGTTGTCACAAAAACTCGTTCCGCGCCTTGGATCAGATCCCAATGTTCGGTCTCACAAGAGGATACATGCAGATGGACCTTTATGTAGCTTTGCACGAAAATTCTGAAATAAGCTTATATATATCCATATTGAGAAACTGATAGCTGCAGGGGCTGCGGTAATGGGGCTTTCTGGAGCTGAAACTATCTCAAAATGTGCCTTAGTTTCTTCTTTAGCTCCCGCACCCAACAAATGCTTCGATTCACATCCTAGTTACTACACTATGTGTGCCCACATCAGCCCCTTACCGATGTGTCACCGATCCTGGATAGCTGGCATACTCGAATCTCAAAGTTGATCAAAGTATAGATTGAACTGGACCTCTCTTAAAATGAGTCTTCGAAATTAAACAATTTTCGGAATACTAAGTTTGTCTATTATACACGAATATGTAAGAAACAATATGTTAAGTTAACAAATAACCAGACATAAGCCATAACAAATTATACTGAAACTTACTTGAAACTTTACACATTGTTTTAAATTCCTTTTAATACACAAACTTTCGACTCAATTACATGAGTCTTCGACAGATACCGGCCTTTAGGTTGGTAAAAGCAAGTAAAGGAACAAAGGTTGTGGTTTAAATACCGAAATCAAGCGAAGCATTAGAAATGAATAGGCCTAAAACATGTGATCAAAGTACGTAAACTGTAGATGTTTTTTTTTCTTTTCACATTTCTATTAATTGTCTGTATCAGATTCAAAACCAGAGTTGTGTAAAAATATCGTTTCTCCTATAAGTCACTGTCCAAGAAGCCTTTCATCCAATACCACAACTTGTCGGTTGGGCTTGGCAATGAGAGACAAAATAGTCCCTATTTATATATGAAATATGAGATTCTAATAGTTGCGGCTTTAAAGTCCTAAAGCTAATGAATCATTAGAAACCTATAGGTCCAAGGTGCACATAGCGTGGTGAGAATGCGGAGGAGATTTCTTAATAGGGTGTGTGTAGGTCTCCCCCAGAAATTATTTGAATGTTAGTGCTCAGAATTTCATTTGGGGGGCTTCTGGAGTACATGATGTTTTGGAATGTTGAGTAGTGATAAAATGGTAGAATGAATCAAGGTAGGGTGCGGGTATATAATACGTACATGTACGTTTGATGCAAACATTCAACTAGCTACTTGAGAAAGATTATGTATGTATACAAATATATTAATCAAACGATACTTGAAACATGCTTAACCATATATTCTTTGAAGTTATGTAATGTGTTAAGAATTTAAAGGCTAATTATATCCACTTTGGAGGTTGCTCAAATTAATACTCTGAAATGCATTTGAGTTTCAACTAGAGTACATGAATAATCAAATTCAATGGTGCACATGCAACCACTGTATTTCATTTACCACGATATCAGGCCATCATTGTATTATATTAGTGGTTCTCAATATGTTGCCTGCGGGCTCCCTTTGGGTGGTTCTTGCAAAGGTTGCATAATTATGGAAAAAAACCAATTGCATAGTGTATATATCCCATCGAAGTACGCAGATATAGCCACTGGGGGGCTGCTGTTACAGAGTTTCAACATCACTGAATCCTCGGTAATGCTTTTACAGCATTAACCTGCTAGCCGGTCAAAACCTTGTTATATACATTGATATAGTTCACAGAAGGCTGTTATTTTCTAGCAAAAATTAGCGCGGGATCACGGTGAATATATATATATATTTGTAACCATAAAACTGTAGAGCTACTTGAAACTTGTGTTTATAAGATCTGAAGAATACCATTAACTTATACACGGAGCGGGACATACCTTTATTTGTTTCCACTCTTCTCGTTACACGTGCTGTTGCTATTCGAGTGGATGGTTACACCTGGTGGACAAGTTTTGTTACAAATGTCTATCGAGATTCAAGGTCGAGGTTACGGTCTGGTGAGTTAGTGGGCCACCATATAAGTCGACAGCTTATAACAACCAGTCATCACTGGCGTGTTTCTAATGGCTGTTAAGACGTTTTTTAAATAATCACAACTGTCATTACAACAGAAATTAAACTTTATTATTTTACTGTTCTTCCTACTTCTTGATCCTGATGTCAGAGTTTTACGCGCCAGTAGTTTTGAAGGTGTTAGTAATGATAACGATCTTAGATGTTGTGAAGTCAGCCCAAACAGCACCTACCATTACCTGGACAAGTTACCTGCAACACCAAGCTCTACGCTTTGCCTATCAATTGAACGGACATTCCGTCCAGAAACGAGTAAGTTACAAAGCAGGCTTTTTTGTTTGTTTTCCTCTTTAACTTTTCGTTTATGTTTTGAAGTATTCACTTTACGTTATAAGTACTTTTTGTACGTTATGCGATGAGATCGTACAAATGTGATGTGATTTTACTTGAAATTAAATGGATAATTTTACTCATACGAGAGGATCCACAATTGCGATAAAGGATTTTAATTATGTCCGAATTAATACTTCTACTATTGAATGGATTTTTCAATAATTTTTGTTTATAAGTTCCTTTTTTGTTGTTCCAATGAAACCACAGACAAGTGTTATCTCGTTCAAATATTGAGGAGAAACTTTCATTCACGTGATTCTTAACTTATGAAAAAGTCAAAATTTGTGTTACGTTTTTTTTCTCAATCTTTAATCTTCTTGAACTCATGTTTTAATCTTGTTATCCCCGATTTTTGTCTTTACACGATAGACCAAGAAATTATTGTTTAAAAATTCATATGTGTAGTTGAATGAACAATTGTTGTTACAGTTAGTGAGTAATCAAACAGACGTGAAACATTATTGGCATCAATAACCGTATTTACCAAATTGATATCTTACTTTTTTCTTAATATGATATTAACAATCATAACTTTTTAGTGTGGTATTAATGTTCAGATTTCCTCTTGTTTCCATGCAAGTCAAATCTATTCTGTCACCTACTTCTACAGCAGTGCATAATTTTGCTCAGATTCTTTGCCATACCACTCACTAACCTCCACTGCAGTGCTCGGTACCACGTGTTTCTGAAAGCCTTTGTCATTCACCCTCCTCTACAGTGGCGCCACCACATGTTTTTGCAATCCTTTGCCAGTTTTGCTACTCACTTACCTGTAAAGCAGTAATGTCAATACGACATATTGCTAAATTATTTTGTTGAGGGAATATTTTCATCGTTCTTAAATCTTTTGATAATTTGTTTATTTTGGATGATATTTCTGCGTAAAATAACAATCTTATATGAATGGTTATTACTATAGAAATGTCTTGAAACCTGCATTTATTAATTTCAAGTACAATGATAGCTTACTTAGGTTCAGAGGTTATTTTTAAACATATGACTTCATTACAGAAATATACATTCAAATTGTAACCTTTCAAAATATATTTGTCACCATACACTAACATCTTAGATTTGTAACCTTATTCTTCCGGGGAACAAGAGTCAGTCACCTTTACCAACTTTGTAAAATAATTATTATAATTTTTTTAGTTCATAGTCTTTTCATAAAGTGTTCAGTTATTTTATTCACAATGTTTTTCTAGAATGTGCCCTAAATTTTCACGTTTACGGAATTGTTATCGGTGTAATGCCCAGGCAAAGTTGTCGTTGTTGGAAATGACAAGAAGAGCTATTTTAGCATTTCTAGTTTATTCTCATTCTCAAAGTCCAATCAGCGATTATTGCAGTATGAAGAAGGCATGATAGATAGTTTGTTTTTAGCTTAAACACAAATCTACACAATATGCTATCTGTGCTCTGCCCACCACGGGTATTGAAACACGGTTCCTAGCATTGTAAGTCCGCAGACATACCGCTGTGCCACTGAAGGACAGGCTACGATAGTACAGAAGACTGAAATAGCTTGCTTTTCTACTGGAAAAGTAACAAAAACTACTTATCTTTCTTTTCGGATTGTGACAGCTTTTATACGCAGTTTATTAAATCTTTGTGTTATTTTAAAATTTCAAAAATGCACCAGTAGTCTTAAAGCACGTACTTAGCTTTCAAGATCATTGAAAATTTAATTTTGATAGTATCAGTTCTCTAAATGCTACATACAATGAGATATTTTCCAGTCATTGAGATATTAGAATATTTAAGTATATTTATAACTGAATTTAAAACTTAACAATATCATACGAGCTCTTGTTTAAAAGGCAATAATGTTTTGCACATATATTAACAATATACGACGAATTAAAAATCATTTGACAATTACTGTAAGAAATGTTATGTTTTTGTCAAGTAGAATAACTCTTAGTGACTAAAATTATATCTCACACAACTGACTAAATGTAAATATAAAGATGTTTATTCTGATCAGATATAAGTTTTTATTCTTCCCGTGCATAAAAAAGAAGTTTCTTAAGTTAACTCATGATTACAGAACTTATAATAATCATGATAGTAATAATAATAGCCAAGTAAAATAAATCTTTACATGCAATACTATTTTTAAAGGGTACAGATAGACAAGGCCAGGCTAAACTAGCCTTTGAACAGTGTGGAGAGGATGGTGATCCGGTCTATGTGAAAAATTTTATGATTGAACCAAATCCAGTGGTAGTACCAGGACCTATTGGTGTGGGAATGACGTTAGACGTCAAACAGAACCAGACGGCTCCACTTCCTGTAAGTGTTTGTTGGTTGTTAAGCGTAAATTTGTATAATATGGCATCAATGGTCACTTGTAAGCGAGAATTTTCTTTTTATTTCTGACTTGGCCATGTTCTATGTACATAGAATACATTATACGCACAGAGATATCTAAACATTAAGAACTTTTCAAATATGATGTTATATGTTATGATATACAAACATAACACTCGTGTTCTACATTCTCGTATTAATATAATATAATTCTAGATTTATCATTGATTTCTGAGTATGTGCAATTTTCACAAGTGGTTAAGAAAGTCTTTAAGTTGATGTCGTTCTAGCTGCCTTTGTTCCCTGTCATTCTATTGAGGTCACAACTGTTTTGCCCATGGATGGAATGGCTGCAATGCTGCTCATTGTGCAAAAGTGAAAATGTAGACATCCGTGTTCTTCATTGGTAGGTCATATGATTAGGCCTCCGTTATGCTTAAATCAGAAAGAGCATTTCACGTGGATAGCGCTCATCACTCTGAGTAATTCTAAAGTTACCTGTGAAGTACGAAACGTTGACTTAGTTTGCTACACTGTTGGCTTTTAAAGAAGTCAGTTGTTTGGAGAGAAAAATTCTGCCGATTCAGTACAAGCAACCATTCCGTTTCTGTAAATCACCGTATTTGTGTTCGTGTTATTCTACGGATTGTTCATTTGCGTTTTACTTTGCGTCCAGTCTCTTTATTTAATTCTCATGTTCTCAGGTATTCAGAGAAATTCAGACTTACTTCACAGTAAATATCTTGTTATCCAGCGGATCTATCCTATTACTCTAAAGTAAACTCAGTGTTACTTGGATATACTCCACATTCATGCTTGTTTTCTGTAGATACATATACAACTATTGATAAAAAAGCTGCAAAGATGAAACGTTAATACGCTCTTTTTAACTCTTTCTCTCTATTGCAGTTCAGCTAGTAGTTTAATAGTTAAATAGTACTGTTTCAGTTATTTAATTTTTTGGTATGTCACATCTTATTTTGTGCGTCAATTTTCAAATAGAATATGATAATATTTGAAAAAAAAACATTTTAAGCTTTTCGTTGTTTTTTTACACTAATATATATGCGCATTCACCCCCCCCCCCATGTTTAGTAACAGAAGTGAAACTTTAATGTTGGCTGAAATTAGGCGTTTGTAAATTTTCGCCTAAAATTTCACCGCAACTGAAAACTCCCAGTTCCTACTAATTGGCTAATAGAAATTTTTACGGGAGTATCTTGCGTTTCATCGGCATGTATTTAAGTTGCACCTGCCATGTTTCAAATTTCTTAATTATCTGTATGTATATATTTCATGTCTTTGTCGATATATATAAGATAAACGTAATGTATATATTCCTGTATGTTTGTCCTCTCAGCACGTTGGTGTGCAAGAGATGTGTGTGATTGTTTTGTTTCTTTACCCCTGAGCAGGGAGTCCACTTTTCATGAGCCCCGGGGTTTTTTTCGGAGACGTCGAGCGAATTATGTCATTTTCCGTACGCTCTTTTAGTTCTGTTTCCTGTTTATTGTCGATACATGTATAAGGTACAAGCTGAAATACCCGTCAACTGACGGGGAATGTTTAAATTTAATTAAAACAACGGAAGTTTAACAGCAATAATATATTTCAAAGTAATAACTTGAAGATAAATTCTATCTCAAAATTTTAAAATTATAACAAAGATTCTTCATAAACAACAATTGCAGTTTGCTTTCCATCTACCAACAAATAAAGATTTTGAGGTGATCCCACCCTTGAACATCCCACATCTCATTGAGCATGGTTGCTTGAGGAACAATCCAGCAACTTTCATACTTTGAGCTTGAATCCCTTTAGAATATCAAACATTGTCTAAAGCGTAAGCTTGCCAAGAGTGTTTGAGATTGACTCAATAGACTGGGAGTAATTAACCAATAGGCTTTATAAAATAGAAATAGAGTTAAGTTCAATTTTGACCCCCTTAGGACATCGCCCTTGGTTCATAGTGTTTACATACATATTTTGGTTGAAATTAGCCCAACAGGCTCGGAGGAGTCAGGATAGAAACAAACACACATTTCGTTTTTATGTGTATAGATAACCAGGACCACCCAGAGGTTAGAGAGAGTCCAGAACTGTAAACTCAAAATACGTAGGCCTCAAACATAAGCTCATGTTTCCCTTAAAATGAGGTTAAATGGCGATCAGTAGGTGACACACACGCGCGCATGCGCATATATTTAGGGATATGGCTTTATCTATATTGTATGAAATTGTTTAGTTAGATAAATAATTAACATGGGATAATTATTTCTATATACTTAGTACATAATTTAATTTATTATCGGTTTCACTGTAGTATCATGTCATATACGGACTAGGATAAGGAGTGAAGTACATACTGTAAGTAATTATTGGTTTTACTGTAGTATAATGTCATATACGGACTATGATAGAGAGTGAAGTACATAATTTAAGTTATTATCGGTTTTACTGTAGTATAATGTCTTGATAATATCTTAAATTATGTACATCACTCTCTATCCTAATTCGTATATGACATTATACTACAGTAAAACCGATAATAACTTAATTCTGTAATTCACTCTTTATCCTATTCCGTATATGACATTATACTACAGTAAAACCGATAATAAACTATGTACATCACTCTCTATCCCAATCCGTATATAATATTATACTACAGTAAAACTAATACTAACTTAATTATGTACTTCACTCTTTATCTTAATCTGTATATAGCATTAATATACTACAGTAATACTGATAATTACTTACATTATGCACTTCACTCTCTATCCTACTATTCGTTGGTAAAAGAGTAGCCCCAGAGTTGGCGGTGGGTGGTGATGACTAGCTGCTTTCCCTCTAGTCTTACACTGCTGAATAAGGGACTGCCAGCGCAGATACCCCGGTGCAGCTTTCTGCGAAATCCATAACAAACAAACAATCACTTTCTATCCTAATCCGTATATTGCATTATACTACAGTAAAATTGATAATAACTTACATTATGTTCTTCACTTTCTGTCGGACGGATTCATGATTTCATTGAGAATACTGTATAAAATAATTACAACAATATAATTACCGTCAGTCTTATTATGATATCTAAACGTCATGTACCACCATGTAACATTTAACATGTTATGTAACATTTAAAAGTTTTTTGTTTTTTTTTTTTGTACAGCCGTAATTAAAGCTACACAGCCTTCATGTCAAATGTATATAAAATGTTAATACTCTTATAGAAGTGTTTTTAGCTGTGTTGGCCTTAAAAATCTAACCGGCCCGGCATGGCCAGGTGGTTAGGGCGCGCTATTCGCAATATTTGGGTCGCGGGTTCGAATCTGCGGGACACCAAACATGCTCGCCTTTTCAGCCGTGGGGGCGTTAAACGTTTACGGTCAATCCCACTATTCGTTGGTAAAAGAGTAGCCCAAGAGTTGGCAATGTGTGGTGATGACTAACTGCCTTCCCTCTATTCTTACACTGCTAAGTTAGGGACGGCTAGCGCAGATAGCCCTCGTGGGCTTTGCGCGAAATTCATTACAAACAAACAAATATC